ATACGTAATGTGCCTCGGTTCAAACTGGTTTCTCGAAAAATCCCTAGATACGAATCAAACTTTTTCATAAACATGCGCTTATTCAGGCAAAATTTGGACTAACATTTCCAAAATTTCGCCATTTTTACCCGAAACTGCCTTTTTCGCATTCGCTTTCGCAGTTTTTCGTCATTTTCAGACCAAGATTCACCGAGAACAAGGTTATTGTTTTGACATGTCAACAGAGGAGAAGGGTAAGCCAAACATATACTAATAATTTACACGTAATAACGCACATCCATCCATTTTTTTAATTTACCTAAATATATAGTTAAAATGTTTTTTATAGACTTGCTTAAAAGTTATATTGTTTTTTAAACTTTTTCTAAGTAAGTCTAAGTTTACTATGAAAATAACTGATCCCACGCACTTTTTCACGCTTGTCAATACTGGTATACGTTTCCTAAAGGTTGCGCCCTCTAGTGAACGAAGCGATTCTCTTGTGGCCCGGAAATTGTTGACAGGAAGGCCATTCACATCGTCGGCATTGCATTGATCTGTCGCCCATCTGTGAAAAAATCATTTTTTTGAGCGAGATTACTATGTTTAAAATATATATATGGGTAACAAAATCACATTTTAAAATGTAAAATTATGAGGGTACTGCATGTCGCGCGTAACACCAGGCGCGGGGAAAAAGTACTGCACCAGTTCCCGGCATTTATATAATTGGAAGAATAACGTTCAGCCGGAGAGGGTGCATGAACTATCGGATAGTGTTCTGTTCCTCGATGCACGTAAAACAAATCACTGCCGCGGATTATAAACAAATATATATGACCGGTATAAGTTTACGAAAATTGTTCAAGATGTAAGTTTAGTATTTCAATTACAATGTATTTAATAAAATTAATAACATGTCGCATGTTATGTTCAAAGTGTCCATAAACATTCTATCATGGCAAACAACGGAAATAAGGCCCCGGTTTCGAAATTTGGATTGAAACTTTCATACGTCATGAATTAACCAATCAGCGTTGAGTTCACTTTTAGATCAGGAGCACTGATCGTATCAGTGTACTTGCCGCTAGAGAAAAAAATCTTCGCCAATAAAATTGTACAGTGTCAATTTTGATTTTAATATTCATAAAACACAAAGTACATCTATTTGCTTTCCATTTCTGTGTCTTGAAGGATGTGTCTGACCGTACCGACATCTTGCAAAGTTACTCACCCCGCCCAAGATTCAAGCAGTTTAATTGGTAGAGTGAACAGGAAGGACAGGTTCGTTGATGACCTATGATAATCTGAAAGTGTACTTTACCTCACCCTTCTAGTGTTAATCTTCAAGTGCCAATAAAGGCAGTGTTTTAAGACTTTATATAATTAAATTTAATGTTTGTTCTTGAGTATATATATAATTGACCAGGATATCCTTGTAACTTTGCAATAAATAAATAAATAAATAAGTTGCCACAACCCAGCGCATCGTCCATTCGCACAGTTCGTAACATTATACCTTGAAAATTCAAGATTGTCCCAGTCTCTACATGCAAATCAGTGGCGGATCCAGCAAAATGTATTGGGGGGGGGGGGTCCAAGCTACGCTTAAGATATACGGACCGTAAATCGCAGAGAAGCTATGCGTAATCCAGATAATATAAATCGTAATGCGTTTGCCCCCCCCCCTCTGGATCCGACACTGAAATCGATACCAGGAGGGGGGAGGTAAAAGAAAAATTATATAACAATTTATTATTTAATAATTTATTAAAATACTTGAGTTTGTCCAACCCCCTGTGCAATGACACGCTATGGCCACCTGACGCATGCGTAGGTGACGACTCCTCCGCTTTAACATCGGATAGTGAGAATATCTTTAGTCGTCATAATACATTGAGTTGGTTAAGTTTATGTTTATTTGTGATTTGCTTGTCAAATGTTCATTTATTTTCACTGGTTGTACCCAATAGATTGCTCACTAAGACGTTATCCCGGGTTTAGCAATGATATTTTAATTTTCTGAATCTTTCAACCCGTGCAATATAGCTGATTATCATCAGCATATGAAATTAATTCGGAAAATTTAATAAGATAAAAAAAATCATTAAAAATATAAATGATTATTGAAAAAGTCAATCTTAATACTGGCACTTGAAATACCAGTACCCTAATTTGAAGAAAAAAAAAACTATTTTAACTTTAACCCTTGGTTGTAGGTCAGATAACAATTTTTTTTAGATTTTTCTTAGTGGAGGCCATATATAGGCTGATAGTTTTGGCTAAATTTTGCAGCTCACATTGTGTTCTTTGTATCAAGTTCATGTTTACAGTCACCAACCAGTCTCAATTTCAGCGATGTCTTGCAGCTGTGTTTGTTAACGGAATGCAGACATGAATGGAGACAGGACGCGGTCAAAGTGACAGTACAGTTATATGGGTAACACCTGCTCAAATATCTTGCTAAAAATGGCAGAATAGTTATTGGTCTATAA